CATCTCAGAGTATTCATTTTATTGATCTGATATTGGGAAAGAATTTGCAGCAACTCTTCTATACATAAAATAGCATTATATTTCTTATGCTATAGAAATACTTGTGAGAATTCAAAAGGTCTAGTCTAGCTTGACCAAAGCAGTGGTCAAAACAGTTCTCTTTTTCCAAACTAGAAAAATGGTCATTTTTAGTGCAAGGACAACCACTTGACTGTAGCTCAGGCATTCTTCCTGAATTGAAAAATAAGCCTAGTTCAGAGAATGTTGCATTCCTGCAGCCATTTAAAAACTGGCAAACTGTAAACTGGTTCTACAGGGTGTCTGAAATATCAGCATCAACTGTATTATTGCTGATGAGCCTGGCATCCTGCTATTCATGGGGTTGTGACTATAGCTAAAATAGGCCTCTCTTTGCTGAGACCTGGAGGCAGGACGCACCATTCTGGACGTTAGAAGTGTGCCCAGAAAGCTGTGTGTTAAGCAACCAGGTCCTGTACGCAACAGTAATGCGCCATTCTAATGACATGTGAATACAACAGAACAAATCAGATCCTTAGCAGGTGTTACTCTTAGTAGTTCTGTGGATCATAATGTGCTGTTGGAGATGGGAAAATCATTAAAAGAAATCAAGAAGGTTTGAATTAAAATTTTGCTTAACTGAACTTCTGACTAGCGCTGTCATTGATTAAACTGCCTGGATATTGGAATGAAGAAAACGAGGATCCAAGAAGCGGTGCTGTGTTAAGGTTTGTGTTGTCTGTCTATTTGGCACCTGAAGCCTTGATTATTTCTTGATGAGCCATGAAAATCAGTCAGTGGCCTCCATTCTGTTGACCCTCCTGACCCTGAAATAGTAGGGCATGACAAAACTAGATTTGTGCCTTAACAGAGCTGCTAAATCTTCTCTATCTCCACAATCCCAAGCGTGTGTGTGTTTTGGGGGGGGCGGGGGGGCGGGCTGTTCTGTCCCACTTGCTCATTGCCTTGCAGGTGACTTGTGTAAGACTGGGAAGTGAAAATGGTCTCATTTTGTAAACTTCTGTTAAGTGAGGAACTGCTCCATGTGTCTCGTATTCATTACTGGAGACGTTAAAGTTCAGTTGTAATATCTGTCATCTTCTGTTCCAGTTGAGAGGGCTGACTAACGGAGGCCCTTCTGTCCCGTCCCGAGGTTGTTGTTGGGCTGCATGCGAGGAGGTGGAGCGCTCGTGAGAATTTCCCTCCAGTGTTTTCCAAGTAGTGGCCAGCTTTTGTGGCACAGTGTTACTGTCTTGGGCTGGGCTTTTCCTGGAAAAGCTCATAATCTTGGGCTCTTAATAGTAATGTTCTGTGATTATATGCAACAGAAATGGAAATGTATGCTTGTACTTAGGCATCGGTCTGTCTTCTCTTGATACGGGGCTTGAGTCTCCTGCCTCGGGAGATTGTGTTGTGAAGCTGTTGTGTAGCTCAGGTTTCATGAGTACCGCTCTAATTGGTTTGTAAATTTGTCAAGAGAGAAGGGAATAAATAAAACAAACAAAATCTGTAAACAATCATAACAAGAAATAAATACACTAGTAGTTCCTCCATTTTAAAAAAGATGAAACCAGTAGAATAGTTCATTAAATGGTCTAAGCTTTTTCTATAGTTGATAACAGTCAAGGTTAGAATTTAGATGATCTTTTTCTTGGTCCTGAAAATTTTTTTTTTCCCCCTTGAACAATCTTTTAATGCAAGTCAATGCGTGTTTAAACTACATACTTGAAGTATTCTATGAATCAGATAAAATCCAAGAGTTGATGATGAAACCTTACCTGCTCAGTGCTTGGAAAACATGGATTTGTGCCTAGTGCAACTGGACGTGCAAGAACCGAAATCCAAAGAACTTGGGTGAGCCTCACTGCAGAAGTGTGGTGGACTGACGGTTCCTAGACGACTCCAGGGTCTGTGGGTTTTGAGCTTCAAATCCTCTGGAACAAGGTAGTTACTATGGCTGTTTTTCTTGTCAGTACTACACAAAGCAGCAAAGAACGCTTCCCCCCCCCCACCTTCAAATAGCATGTGACTCCAGTATGGTATCTGCTACAACAGTGGGGAAGGAGGGAGCAACGAGACACATGAACCTTTTAAAACTTTTATGCATCTGTGAGCTCAGTTTAGTGGGAAAGGTAAGTGTAAACAAAAATGCCTTAAGCAGCTGGGATGGATATAGCTCATGAGCTGAGAAATGGCAAGGGATAGGCATAAACTATGACTGATCTGTAGTGTTTTCTGTAAGTAATAATGAACAGGTTATTTCAGGCTTACTCTGCTTTTGTTTGACTTGGAAAATGGGGGATTTCTAAACAAAGCCATGACATATTGCGAGTCTGTAACTACCTTAACTTTGCTGTTGTCTGCTTTAGTTACGTACAGGTTGCATAGTGTTCCCTCAGTTCTTGTCACATCACGTCTTACTAATAGATGCCGTGTCGCTTCTCTTTGCCCACTGCTGAGCATGTTGGCCTTCATTAATGTGAGATGACAGCAGACAGAGTAGGAAGTCCCAGGCCTAGATGTAGCTTGTCACTCACAGCTTGTAGTTATACAGGTTTCTCCCTCTTCGTCCCTTTTTGCCTGTAAAATAGGGACAGGAACGCTACAAAATGGGCATGTTCTGCAAGGATTAATCCTTGCAACGTTCTTTGGATAAAAGAACTGTGTAAAAACCTATAATATGTATTTGTTTCAATCCTTGTCTATTACTGTCCTTTGTATATTACTGTTTCTGAGACGGAGGAAACTATTGAGGTTCACGGTAATACTGAAGTCATCTGGGCTCTGCGTATCTGGTCCAAAACGTGGTGCTACTCCAGGAGCTGTGGAGAACAAGTATTGAGTGAATGAGATGTTAGGAGTTTCTGGTTCTCCTAACTTTGTAATTGAAAGAAGTTTTTTGGGGTATGTTATTTTGCAGGAGGAGTGAGATAAGGTGAGATGGACACAGGAATCTGTATGGTGTTAAAAGCAGTTGTAGCTGTGCAGCCTTGCTATTTTTATTACTTTTGTGAGTGTTCGGCGTGTGCTTGCGCTGCGTCCAGCGTAGTGCAGTGCTGGTCTGTGGTGTACATCCTGGTGTGCAATGGAAATGGCTAAGAAACAAGTTTGTGTTGAGTATTCTGAAAATCTCCCCCAAAGTGAAAGCTTTCGAAAGAAGGAAAAAGCGGGGAGGGGGAACCTGCTGGCAAGATGACAGCATGCGTTTGACATGCCTTATCTCTGAGTGGGAGTGAGTTTGTTCAGCTACTGCCATATTGCAAGGTTTAACATGGGCAGGCTAACAAGCTGTAACAGGAATATCTGATGCTTTGAATTAAATGGTTTGGGAAGTGGCTTGCAGACTTCTTCAAATTTGAGCTTTCTGCGTGTGAACTTACTCTTGAATAAAAATTACCTTTAGAAAGCATAGGTATAGTATGTATCTTTTTGTTAAGAATATTTGGAGAAAAACAGAAGATGAAGAAGTTGGTGCGCCTTTCGGTAAATGGGAGAGTTACCTTTGATCTCTGGTTTAGGAAGCTGAAGATGTTGCAGGAAAGGAATAGCAAATACTGAAGTGCAAGACTTCTGATTTGAAAAACTTTGCTTTATTACATTTTTCATATTTGTGTTATTGATAATTGTGTTGGGTGGCAGGTGTCTTCAGTTCTTCTATTTTTTTTCTTCCAGATGAAATAAAAACAGAGCTGGAAAAGCAAAGGTAAGCTACTAATTGCTGTGAACTATATCACACAATGGCAAGTTAGTTAGTGTGGTAGTATATCAAGTTATGGCAGTGAGCTTTTGAAAACGCAGTGACCCACCTTTCCTGCCAAAACACATGATATGGCCCATGGGTTCTAATTACATAACGTTTGTGGCTCTGTGTACTCAAGCCGTAACTGCCGCTAAATTTCATTATGGATAATTGCAAAACTTCTAAAAGGTGCTCTTTTTTTTTTTCTCCACTTCCTTTCTGTTGCTAGACTTATGATTTCCTATCAGGCTATATTAAAGAGCAATATATTATGTTTGTTAGCATGCTCTCTTACCTACCTAGATCAAGAATACCAATTTAAATATTATGTAAAAAACCAATTTTTTAATGCTTTGTAGCGCTGTGCTATGATTAAAAACAGAGTCCCAAAATCTGTTTCTTTGCTTAATATTGTTCGTGCAGGCCTAGTTTAGATAAGTTTATCCTTATCTGTGTAGGAGTTCCCCTGTGTTTCAGGGAGTCAGACAGTGCTGGACTGTAGTGGGGGAAGAAGTAACTTGAATATATGAAGAAGGTCAGGTGCAATATAAGAAAATGTGAAGCTGTTTTTGTACGATTTTAGAAGAAAGTACCGCTTTCTTTTAAAAGCATACATAAGAGGAATTTGTGTTAAATTTGATGCTGCTATGTACATTCAGCTTTTAATTTGAAAAAGGAGGCAGTGCAGTTTGTGATATACATGTTTAGGAAAATAATAACTCTTCTCCTGACCTAGAGAAGGCACTGCTGCTCCACCAAAAGCAAACTTCATTGAAGCAGATAAGTATTTCCTTCCGTTTGAGCTGGCCTGCCAGTCAAAGTCTCCACGCATTGTCAGTACTTCACTGGATTGCTTACAGGTAGGTATTCTGGTTAAACTTGGACAGAGTGAAATGGGGAAACATGCAGTTACAACATTCTTACATGCTCTTGGCTTTCTTCGAATGAAGAAGTGAAATTATTTGCACACCTGTATATGCTTGGCGTAAACGCTATGCGTACTTCCATGCGTAAACTGTTGAAAATAAGTTATCAGACTTGGCTGAAAGCGGGTCTTGTCACAGTGAGAAACGCGTGTGATTTGTTTTGGAATGAAACGAGCATATTCATTGCAGGTTTTGGATGCTTATGCTGTCCTATAAAGATGTTTCATGCAACTCTAAAGGAGTATTTACCATGGTCTTCCTTGTAGTGGTAATGTGATGGCAGATCAGACTCCAGAATCTTTCTACCTTTTTCCCCCTTCTTAGAGGAAAAAACAAATTCAACTTCATCTCAGCTAATTACTTGAGCAGAACCTCTTTGTTGTGAGTAGGTACGAAGACTGACAATAAAAATGTGGTCTGGTTGCAGTAGGAAGAAATTGTCTAGGTGGCAAAAGTGTGTGCAGCTCTTAAAAACCTGTTTTGTCTAGATGTGTGAACAGTCCAAGCATGTGATAGCCAGACTTCTGATGGTGTTAAATCTTTGTTATAAATGGCTAAGTGAGGTATGCAGTCTAAAACCTTCTCTTCATGCTGCACTGAACTGTGTTTTACTTAACAGTATATGACTGATTAACTTGTATTCTTTCTACCTAGAAACTCATTGCATATGGGCATATCACTGGCAACGCTCCAGACAGCGGAGCGCCTGGAAAACGACTGATTGACCGAATAGTTGAAACAATTTGCAATTGTTTTCAGGGTCCTCAAACAGATGAAGGAGTACAACTGCAAATAATTAAGGTATTTTGGTGTATTTTCAATGTTTTTTTCTGTCTCTAATTTTGTGGCTGAAACAAAATTGCATGTGAAGCGCTACTTGGGGCCCGATTTCTCCATCTCCTACACAGTGAGATGTATCATTGAATTTAGAGAAGCTTTCACAGCATCTAAGTTGGTACATGGAATGTATTTTCTCCTGCTTAAACAGAGCATGTGGGTATAGCTTTGAAACTTGTCCTTCATTCTGGGATGAGCCGTGGTCTGGAAACATTATCTTGTAAAAATAGGACTGCTTGATCAACAGCACTGTTCATCTTCTAGGCTAGTGATGCCTATGTTCGGGAGACTGATGAAATACTGTCAGCCCTCAAGCTAATATACAATAATCTCAAGAAAACTTCAATTGAAGGCTCTGTAACTGTGATGCAGTGTTGTGGACCAGTGCTCTAGCCAGTTTGCTCTCATATCTATTTTTCTCAAGATCTGCAGTATATGTTATCAGCAAATCACAGTGCTACCAGAAGTGTGTGTTCTGATTCTGGAACCTACTCGGGCAAATGTAGCTACTAGAAGTTAATGAACATTATAGAAATTTAATTTGATGGAAGCTTAGGCCAAATGGCCCTTTCACAGAACGGAAACTCTAGAATAAAATAACTGTTAGTAGTTTGGAGGTGAAATATCTCCCTCAAAGGAAAAGTAGTTGTGATGTGTTCCTTTTCTTTTAGCAGCTCAGGAGAGAATACCGATATCAAAGTTCGGATAAACTTTCTCTGATCTGAAAAGTTCTTTCGAAGAACTAGAAGTTCCTTATAAAATTTTTTAAACAGATGCATGTGTTTCATAACAAAGCCACAGCTTATTATGGAAGACCAACATGTTTGTCTTACTGTTTTATGTACTCTTTCAGGCTCTCCTTACTGCAGTAACATCTCCGTATATAGAAATTCATGAAGGAACAATTTTGCAGACTGTTAGAACCTGTTACAACATCTATCTGGCCAGTAAAAATCTCATTAATCAGACGACTGCCAAAGCTACCCTTACACAGATGCTAAATGTCATTTTTACACGGATGGAAAATCAAGCTGTATGTAGCTATTGCTTTTGCTCATCTCAAATATTTAAGCTTGACAAATGAACACAATATTTCTTATGTGTCTATGTCATTGTAGCTGAGTACCTATTGATCTGTTATTTAAAAGAATCTGCGGAATCCTGCAGTGAAGCATACTGAACCCTGTAGACTAATTAAAAATAAAATGAGGCTTACTGCTGATAACAAGGTTTGACACTGTAGTTTCTGACAAACAGCTGTGTATAAACAAATGATGGGATGCTTTTAAAATAAACTTATTTCCAGCGTAGCTAAACTAGAAGCAAATCTTTCTAATCAGCCTGGCTAAATGAATGTATCTTCATTGTCCCTTTCTTGTTAGCACTTGAATTTGTAAAGAACATCAGTCATCACAGGCATCTGTTTCCCTTATGTTTTCTGCCCCAGATTAACTTTATCGTATTGGTTTTTCAAGATACAAGAGGCCAGAGAAGTGGAAAAAACAAGTCAACAGAAATCCCAGTCTCCTGTGAGTCAAATGGTGACAAGGTCTCCAAAGACTGGTCATTTAAAGCACAGCTATCAGGAAGGCAAAGCTGCTACTCCTGTATCCGTAGAATTAACTAATGGTGAGCCTGAGAGGACAGAAAACGGAGACCTGAAGTCAGAGCAAGATCTGATTCCTCCAGTGTCAGGTGAACAAGAATATATTGTGTCCATCTTCAAGTATGATGTTTCTACTGCAAAATGCTCTTTTATGCTATTTTGGGGAGGAATGGTAGGGGCTATTGGCTTAAAACATGTTCACATCTTCGTGGTAGCTATTCAGACTCGCAGGCATCCTTAGACAGTATAACCATTGAAGAAAAATTCATATTTGCCCTAGAATTTTAGTAAAAGTATATATCTTTCGTATATAGAATTATACTGGAATTTGACTTGATTATGTTAGGTTGATAAAAGGGAAGGAGAGCAGAGAGAATAGCCGTGGTACACTTACAAGTGCCAAAATTACTTTGGGGTAATTGAAGTCCTGAGGTAGAAAATAGTGTGTGTTATAAAGACATTACAATAAGCATGCACTATATCCAAATTAAGAACACAAGATGTTCCAAAATGAAAACTTTGCAAAAAGTCATAAATACAAATGACAAATTTACTGCAGTAAAATATAAGTGCTTTGATTTAAACTGTAGAAATAACATCAAAGTATTTTTGGATGAAATTCTTGGAAATGGCTTTAAAGGGGAACAACTAAAGGAAATCTACATTTTTTTTTAACCCTTCTACCTGCTTCCCCTTTCTCTCTTCTTACTAAACAAAAGCATAAAGTACGAACTATCTTTTTGTGTGTTTCATCAGAGGAAACAACTGATGGAGGAAAGGAAATGGTTAAAGGCATCTTGGAAGATGTGGTCAAATCGGCTGTGAAAGGTATTGAAATCTTCTGAAATAAAGTGTGTGTGTGTAATGCCTGACGCATACTCCCCTGTTTATAAAAGTGAAGAACTTATTTTTTCCATTACTAAGCGTCTTGTCAAGAATGCTTTACTAAGGTAGTAAGAACGGGCTTTCACTGCCTCATGGGAATACTTCCTTTGTTGATGGCTAAGAAACGCCCTCTAATCTACCAGTGCTGCCTCTATCCCACTCAGTTGTAGAGCTTCACAAATATCATGTGATTTTTTTTTTTTTTAAAGGGCCTACAGATGAATTCAATTATTCTTCTTTTTCCCTTTCAGTGGCTGAACAAAAGCATGTAATAGAAACAGTTGAGGCTCTTCCTGCATTAGAGACCGCAGATACTGCTCTTTCTGGCTCTAGTAATGAAAATGTACAAACAAATGGGATTCCAGATGACAGACAATCTGTTTCCTCCACTGATAATTTGGTAAATAACTTCACTGGATGTTAGTGTATGCGTAAGGAGAGGGAAGTCTTTTATTATGCCAACTAATTCAGTGGGATTTTGGAGGGAAGAAACAAGCTTTTAATGCATTAAGTCCTGCTCAGGTTTGGGAAAGAAGCAGCAAATTCAGTTTAAGTACATGTTGAAAATAACTGCTTTGAAATTGATTGTTAATTGTATTTTCCCACTTTGGAGTGGGAGGGGAGTCAGTCAATACTAAGAAAAGATCTGTTACTTGTATTCCTGTTTAGGTCTGGGTTAAATTTTGGCAAGTGTATTGTTCTTTAATCTGACTGATTCTCTGAGGAGCTGTGAAATCTTCCTAATTGCTGTGCTCTTTTGCCCTACTGGGGCTTTAATATTGTGATTCTTGCTTGCTAGGAAACAGATGTACCTGGATATCAAGCTGCTGCCAAATTCTCCCACGTTCTTCAAAAGGATGCCTTTCTTGTGTTCAGGTCGCTGTGCAAGCTCTCCATGAAACCCCTTGGTGATGGACCACCAGATCCCAAGTAATGAGACTATTTATTATGTTGTCTTCTCCAGGTAGCTTTTAGAGGCAGAGGAAGCACAGTTGTGCAGCTGTTTTATACAGAACAGGGGTTTGGAATTCCCCTGTTCCAGTTAGGTTGATGATTCTAGAATAAAAGCTTGCTTCAAATAATTAAAAATCTAATACTTGAGGAATTTTTGGTATAATGGGCTTATGAATCTTATCAGTTGAAGTCAACTTGACTACAGCATTTATGAAGCTTAAAAAAAAGCTTCTTCGTAGTTATGAGCATCTGTTATCCTATTCCAAGATGATAATCTTCCTGGACATCTCCAAATTAAGATGGTCTAGCATGGCTTGCAGGCTGATTGCCTGCTTGAAATAGATAAAAATAGAAGTCATTTCTTCTTGACATGGAAGAAATACTAAAGTACTTATGCTGAATACAAGTATGTGCACTCAGAGGTGTAATGAAAATCTTCATATTGAATTTCTTCTAGATCCCATGAATTGCGTTCTAAGATAGTGTCTCTCCAGCTTCTTCTCTCAGTATTGCAGAATGCTGGTCCAGTTTTCAGGACACATGAAATGTTCATCAATGCAATCAAGCAATATCTTTGTGTAGCATTGTCTAAAAATGGAGTCTCTTCTGTTCCTGATGTATTTGAGCTCTCTCTTGCCATCTTTCTCACGCTGCTCTCAAATTTTAAGACCCATTTGAAAATGCAGATTGAGGTAAGAGGTTTTTAACTATGACTTGTATGATGCTCTAGTTCCTAAATCAAAATAGTTCAATGATACAAAGCCAACTGTAACCTAAAAATTAATGGCTTAGTTTTGTTTGCTGAGTAAACCGGTGTACTATTGTCTTAAAATTACAATATATGAGAGATAGATACTATTTGAGAAATTACTAAATAGAAATGAATCTGTGCAGTTAACCTAGTTCTAAAATCTCTCAGAAAGCTGCAGACATCAGGTCCTTTACCTCATTTATTTTGCAGGTGTTCTTCAAAGAGATCTTCCTGAATATTCTAGAGACCTCTTCAAGCTCTTTTGAACACAAATGGATGGTGATTCAGACTTTAACTAGAATTTGTGCAGGTATTTTCACTGTTGTAGAAAGTTGCCCTTTTCTTTGGAAGCTGAAGAAAGTTATTTTTGAGATGTGCTGTGTTTAAATGTGGAAAAAATGAATTTGATCCCATAGCTAGGATATCTGGTTAAATATCTGGATTCACCCCCACTGCCTGCTCCAACTAGGTGATTTCCTTTTATAAGATGCTATTACACTGAATTTTAATACTCCTACTTTCTCTTATTTTCAAGATGCCCAGTGCGTGGTGGATATTTATGTTAACTATGACTGTGATTTAAATGCTGCTAATATATTTGAACGCCTTGTAAATGATTTGTCTAAAATCGCACAGGGACGAAGCGGACACGAGTTGGGAATGACACCTTTGCAAGTAAGAATAACAGCTTTGCAGATAACGTACTTTTTAAAAAATTTTAATAAATATCAGTGTCTCATCATTACTGGCACTTCCTGGGGTTCACATTGTGTGTAACCTATTAATGTTACCTATTTTTTGACCCTGTCCTTCAGCAGTTTGTTTTTTTTTTTTTCCAGTCCCGCACAGATCTTTCAGTGCTGTGAAGTGAACTCATTGCTAGGCTTGGTATTGGAAGTGAGTGCACCTCACTCCTTTGGTCAGAACTACATAAATACTTGCTTCATTTTTCTATATGGTTTTGACTAGAGAATGGAATACCTAAAGACCTTTGTTTCGGTGTTTGAGTAGAATTGTTTACTATATGACTAAGGTAGTGAGTCTTGCTTATGGAGACATCTGACTCTAGAAACTTGCTTAGATGTTCATAATAATTCATTTAAAAAAAAAAAAAAGGGTTGAGGTTGCATTTGGGGTTTGTTGTATGTCACCCCTTGGTTGTAGTCATCAGCTGTCAATAGATGATCCACTTGAAGTAGCTGGAACGTAGCTGGTATCAGTCTAAACTGTTTTATGCAGAGTAATAGAGGTGCTTCTTCACCAAAAGCTGTGATTCTTTCTAGCCTGCATGTATTCAACCTAAACAGTCAAGGAGCAGGAGTTCGCTTTTGTACAATCAGACGATCTCCTAACTAGTGAACTTATTAAGGTTTAAATAATGTGATGGAATGCCTCCTGAAAACTTGAACGTATATGTAGCTTTACTGAAAGGGAGAGCAAGGTAGCGTGCCCTTTATTTTGTCACTGAACTTGGTAATTTATCTGTATGGTAAAGCAAAGTGTATTGTCTTTCAGGAACTAAGCCTGAGGAAAAAAGGACTTGAATGTTTGGTTTCTATTTTAAAATGTATGGTAGAATGGAGCAAAGACCTTTACGTGAACCCCAATCATCAGGCTACCTTAGGTAAGATTGCTTCTCTATGGAAGACTAGTTTATTTCGTTGATCCCTGTATATATCTACTGTTTAGATATACTCAGATATAGATATGCTGGGTTAGATATGCTGGGTTTTTATATGAAGATTTGTTTATGCAAATGAAGAGTTTTACATATGGTTGTTAATGCTGTTGCAATAACTCACTCTAAGTGTCTGGTTCAAATATCTGTGTTCTGTTTTTAAAGAGTTTTATCCAGTCATCATCAATAATGTAAAAGCTGATTTATGCTGATCAAGAGATGTGACAAATCTTGCAGTCACTAGATTTAAGTGGAAGAATGTGTCTCTGTAGTTGCTGCTGCTGTTCTTTAGTTTGGATTATTTTAGAATTGCCTCCATATAACATGCTCACAGAGGACAGACTGCTAAAAAGTACACCTGATAGAATAAGAAGATTGTCTCTTTAGAAGCTTCTACTGAAAGTTCTTTTGGCTAAAAGTTTGTTTGACCGAACAGGGCAATGTAAGTCTCGCTCTTTATAAATAGGTTCGTATAAACCAGCTGAACAGGAAATAAGTGAAGGTAAATGCCTTGAGAGTGGAGGAAGACGAAGTAGCGTAAGTTCCTTGGATTCCACTGTGTCGTCAGGAGTTGGAAGTGTTGGTACCCAGACTGCTGTCCCAGATGACCCTGAGCAGTTTGAAGTCATCAAGCAACAAAAAGAAATAATTGAACATGGGATAGAGCTGTAAGTCCAATAGGACAAGAAAATAAGTTCACTAGCAAAAATGATGTATGCAACCATATTGGTTTTTACAATTCTTGTGCAGTCAAACTTGTAGGGACACTGAAATTAAACTTACTGCCTAAGATGCTTGCTGTTGTCAAAAACTGACATTGTAGATTGCTGTAGTTAAAGGGAATTCCATAAAATCTTTGGCTGGAGATGAAGGGGTAGTTTCACAGATTTCCTCTGTGCTCGTTCAGCCGCAGAGAGGAAAGTGTGTATACCTAGACAGAAACTGATGTGAGCAGGCAGGCTTAATGTTGTCTTCTACCTCTTGGACTATTTGTTGCCTTTTTAGTAAAATAAGGTTTGGAGAATGAAACAGTTGTGTGGCAATACTTGACTAACGTTTCATTAACTCGAAAATAAATATTTGTCTGTAAAGGCTATAAAAGGTTTTGAACAACAACTTTTTTTTAAGATTTCATGGCAAATCTCAAGTTTTAGTATTTTATTATTTAACAGTCTGAATTTCTTAGGAGGTAACTTCAAAGCTTATCAGCAGCTGAATATATCTTATAAGATATAGCCTAGGGTATGATATAGTTAATACAGTTATATCATGTTCTTTGACCTTCTGACTTTTAAAAAGTGACATAGAACTACAGCACAGAATCTTTAGTTTTACAGAGCCGTTCTAAACCAAAATTTTATTGGCAATTATATCTTCAGTTGTATGTCTCACTTCCGACTATGTTTTGTCCGAGTAGGTTTAATAAAAAACCAAAAAGAGGAATACAGTATCTACAGGAACAGGGAATGCTTGGCGCTACGGCAGAGGACATTGCACAATTTCTGCATCAGGAAGAACGCCTCTGTTCTGTAAGACTACATGCAACAAAATAGTTAATGATGCTTCTAAAGAAATACTCTTGGCCTTCTCTTCTCTTCCCCTACCCTCTGAAGTCTAGGCATTCTCTCTTGTTATCTATTAATGAAATAGGGACTAAAAAGTGTAAGGGTTCTAATGAAGTTACTTCAACTCCCATTCTGACTTCTATTTAATTGCTGCCTCAAGCTTTTTGGTTAAAATAGCTGTGTTTACAAGAAGGTGCTGGAAGGATTTCTCATACATGGGAACATACACTTTATCTATGTCTACGTTAGCAATACGTTGCCAGCAAAGGAGTGTCGCGTACTGCAGTGGCAAAGCATCCTCCACTGTGGAGAAAGTCGGCACAATGCGGCTTTCTTTAACTGTAGAGTAATACATGCACCGACTTGGGGGAGTGAGGGAAGCAAGAATGTGTTTTAGTTTTCAGATGCTGTCTTTCTAACACTTGCTCTGCCTACTCAGTGAAGCACATCAGTCTTACAAAACTGACTGCTGTGCAACCCTTGTGCCATAAACTTTCTTGTGAAGCCGTCAGTTGGATTAGACGCTCATAACTGTCTCTTGTGTTTTTAGACTCAAGTAGGGGAATTTCTTGGGGAAAGCAACAAGTTTAACAAGGAAGTGATGTATGCCTATGTAGACCAACTTGATTTCTGTGGGAAAGACTTTGTCTCTGCTCTACGTATATTTCTGGAAGGTTTCCGGTTGCCAGGTGAAGCCCAGAAGATTGATAGATTAATGGAGAAGTTTGCTGCTAGATATATTGAATGCAATCAACGGTAATTCAAAACCTTTGTATTTGATAAGTGCTTGAGGAGTGGCTTTTTTGTGTGTGTGTATATGGCCTTTAGGGATAAAGCGTAACCCCCCCTCATACTGCAAAATTTGAGTATCTCTACAGATTTGTTGAGCAGATCTTGTTGCTTATATCTGTGCTGAACCTCTTCAGCAGTCAGGCAAAATGGTATTCTCCTAGAATTTCCTGGAGGCAACTTTTAACTTCTATTTTTCTATCCAAAACTGCACAATACCACTGCTGGTGTTTCATTAGATGCCACATATTTGTTGGAAGGAATTCTTGGAAGAGAGAGGCCCTGAATATGCTAAAATTCTGTAAGGTTTTGGTTGTTCCTTCTTTTTGATCAAATCTAGATCAGTCAAATATAAACAATAGTAACTAGCAGTAGCAACTGAGAAAACTGAAAATGAATGGCTTAAGTAGCTAGTAAGATGCTACTTTTTTGCCTACCATTAGTCATTTAACAAAGATAAATATGTCACTGGCACAAAGTAGACCATGTTTCTGTTATTTCTAATACAGTAAACATGCTAGCATTGATTTGTAGCTAGGTATTCAGGCTTAACTGGTTCCCACTTAGTCCAGTTGGTGCATCACTGGGTCTGGTTTTGTGTAATTCTTTATGAAACTTTGGGAATTAAGAGTAGCCTGTTCTTCAGCTTTTTGTCAGAGGACCCGGAGGAAGGTAATGCATAATCTTTTGGGAATAAGTTTGAAAATTCCAGTCCTCCCTAGTACTCAATCTTGTGAAGATGATGCTTTTGTATTCTTCCCTTTTTCGTTTGCATTGTGAAATATTTGGGCCTTCATGCATTTCTAAAGGCTAATTTTAAGCTTTACTGCTCTTTTGGTTGAATGTATAGCACTCCTGGGTATTTCTTTCCTGTATGTGGAACTAGAGCTAATGGATTGAGGAATTAGGGCTCTAAAACCTGTTTGCTTTGTTTTGTTTTTTTCCCCTCAGGCAAACTCTATTTGCTAGTGCTGACACTGCCTACGTTCTGGCATACTCTATTATAATGCTGACTACAGACTTGCACAGTCCACAGGTAGATATTAAGAAAAAAAAAAAAAAACCCAAAAACCAAGCACCTGTTGAAGTTCTGACTTCTCTAAAACTTGCATTCAAAATCTGATACCAATTTCCATTCTCCTTTACAGGTAAAGAATAAAATGACAAAGGAGCAATACATTAAAATGAATCGAGGAATTAATGACAGTAAAGACCTGCCAGTGGAGTATTTATCCACCATCTATGAAGAAATAGAAGGAAAGAAAATTGCAATGAAAGAGACAAAAGAATATGCAATTGCAACCAAGTGTAGTAAGCCAAGTAAGGAGGAACTAGAAACTGAAAGACCACAGTGCTCTGAAATATTGCAGTAACTTTCTTTCAGCGTGGCATAGTGAAATTCAGATGCTTTTTGCAAACATCTCTGTGCAATACATAAGTTACACTTATAATGACTAATATAGTTGTCTGGAATGGAACTGGCTCAGTCATTATTTAATTATGCTGTTTCTGTGATGGAAACATAGCTATGTGAGTTCATCCAGCACCATTGCAGAGAGGCAGTAGAAACTGTAGATTTTTTCAAAACAGAAATGTGAGGGAGATGGTTGGCGCTTGCTTTGTAGGTTAACTTCTTGCTTTTATGTACTATGCAACTGTATTTTATGCCTGCCTGTCAATAGCATGTCATAGTTCAGAGGCTGATAAATCATGGAGACCTTGTGATAAAGTGTTTGAAAAAGGCAGAGATTGGAGAGTTTGTCATGACTTAATCACTTTTCCTCATCGAGAACAAACACGAACTTCTGTGTAGTGTACACCAGAAACCAGTGTCTCTAATTGTGCTCTGCTGTTACTCAGAATGCCCAGCATTCTTTTGTTTCCAATTAGAGAATTCTGAATCTGTAGCATGTGCTCTTTTCAGTGGTTTAGGTGCTGTTTGCAAGTTCCCTAGATCGGAACAGGAACAGAATTGATTCGCCTGAAAAGTGAGGTTGCAACCTTTAAAGGATAATTAAATTAATAAGTTACTGTTTCTTTATATGATTGGTGATGGCTAGTTTTCTTTCGAGGACTTCAGCCTAAGAAAATGAAACATCTTATGTCCATTTTTACAGGAGTGACAAAGAGTATGCCTCTAACTTCCTGTGATCAGATCTTAGCACCTGGCATATAAATAAATGGCTGAATTGGTTATATTGTTTAGAATAAAGTCTTAAGTTGGGGTATGGATTTTAGTGCTGGAGTCTTGTCTGTGTTCTGTGACAACCTCTGAATTGTAATGCGTCTGGGAGATTTTACTATTAGACTTCATTTTTTTTACAGCTTCATTTAACATTTGTAATATCCAGAGCTCAGGCATGGAATCTGCTATTTAAAAAAAAAAAAAAAAAAACCAACACAACTGTGTGGTGTTCCCCTTAGATGTAGCTAACGAGAAGCAGCGGAGGTTGTTGTACAACTTGGAGATGGAGCAAATGGCCAAAACAGCTAAAGCCCTCATGGAGGCAGTGAGCCACGCAAAGGCTCCTTTTACTAGTGCCACTCATCTGGATCATGTCAGACCCATGTTTAAAGTGAGTGTGTGAAATTCTCCTTGTATCTTCATTGCTACGATAATTTTAAGCTGGAAAAGGTAGAAAACGACCCTCTAGAGTTAGATAATGCAACAGGTGGATTTTTTTGATATATTTGGTCTGCCTAGTGCTTTGAGGTAAAAGCTTTATAGACTTCTAAACTTGATTTCTTCCTTTCTTTAGCTTGTATGGACTCCACTGTTGGCAGCTTACAGTGTTGGTTTGCAGAACTGTGATGACACAGAAGTTGCATCTCTTTGTTTGGAAGGAATACGTTGTGCAATTAGAATAGCCTGTATCTTTGGAATGCAGGTTTGTATAAGAACTCGCGTGGAGCTCATTAAGGGCAGCATAGGTTCTGGGAGGGAGGAGAAGAATTGTGGACAGGCTGTCTCATCTAACTTCTTGAAATGGCTAAATGAAAGTAGCTGGTATTCCTCACCATTTCTTTAGTTTGTTTTGAGATCTCGATATTGTCAAGCTTTTCTTAAACTGATACCCCTCCGTTGCTCGGCCTTCATTAAGTGTGTTTGTGAGCTTGCCTACTGCTCTCTTTCAGATGGAGAGCGCTCAAAATGTAGTTGCCAACTCTACAGTGGAAAGGAAGTTGTGCAGACGTGCCAGGGAAGTGGCCTCCTCTAGTTGAGGAACTTTTAACTACATGGTTTGTTTCTTTGCCTCCTAGCTTGAACGAGATGCTTATGTGCAGGCACTTGCTCGTTTTTCCTTGTTGACTGCCAGTTCCAGCATTACAGAAATGAAACAGAAGAACATAGACACCATTAAGACGCTTATTACGGTCGCTCACACAGATGGCAACTATCTTGGGAACTCTTGGCATGAGGTAAAAACTTGAATGGTTTAAATAGTTCAGCTGCGATGGCCTTTGGAAACTTGCAGGATTTTTTTCTAGTGTGCTTATTACTTTCACACTCTTCAGTAACTGTATTTAGCTCCCCGCGTTTGTCAGAACTCTGCTTGAAACTTGGATTCGAGTGCGTTAATTGGTAGGATTTTTTTTAATTATATAATTTCTAGCCTTTTGTAGGCAGAAAGCCTATTATGTTGTTGGTCACGTAAACAAAAATAAGCCAACTCACAGCTCTAAACTTCTCTGTCCAGTGTTTGGCAACTTTTACAGCACAGTCACATGAGAAAGTAGGGCCAGAGCAACTTGATTGGGGACAGAAAAAGACAGGCTATCAGGATCATATGTATTTTCTGAAACCGTCTCTTCCAGGAGGTCTTTAATCTGACGTAAATCTATTCTACTGCTAGAATGGGCGTTCCTGCTGCTTTATCTTCTTTGGCTGCATGGTGGTATGAGCTGAGAAGTATTCTAGCTGACAGGTTATTTTAGACCTGGCTGATAATGCACCCCTACAAATGCATGTGTCAGTTCAAGGGATGTTGGAGCAGAGGAGTGGGAAAGAGATGGTCCACTTTGTGCTGATGGCAAGGCACAACTTTGGCATTTTCACTGGTTTACACTGAAACTTCATTGCTGCCAGTGGTAGCTGCAATTCAATCTTTTTTTTCTCTCTGCGACAGTGAACGGTTAAGGGGGATGAACCCCAAACTGTTCGTAGTATTGAAAGCTGATGCCATGCAAAGTAATACAAAGATTTTCTTTTAGAGATCCAAGTTAGATTTCTGGATTCTGTTGGGTTTTTTGTTCTTGACTTCCTTGGGTATTGCACTGATTCCTGGCAGCTGGTGATCTTGAGCGAATCACTCAACTTCATTTCCAATTAAATTAGTAATGGTGTTTCAGCCACATCAAAACCGGTCGTGTTGTCAGAGTTGTTTTAAAGGTTGGAGAACCTTTGAAGTGTTAGGAATAAAAGTAAGATGGTATCCAGAAACCAAAATGTTTAAATTTTTTTTTTTTTTTTTTTTTAAGATCTTGAAATGTATTAGCCAGCTGGAACTAGCACAACTTATAGGAACTGGAGTGAAAACTCGGTATTTATCTGGTTCTGGGCGTGAAAGGGAAGGAAGCATTAAAGGCTATTCATCTGGAGGGGAAGAATTTATGGGCCTGGGATTAGGTAAGGTTATTAATCCTGGTCTTCACAAAGCTGCATTTATAAACCAAATATGATACCAACACAGAAAGCTTTATGTTGTAAGATACCAAAATATTTATTTACTTGTCTCAATCTGAGATTAATGAAACTAAAAAAACCTGATTCTGAGATTTCAGCATCGTTTGGTAGTTGCCAAGCATGTTCCAACTTTGTAATTGCTTTAAGGTATCTAATACAACTCCAGATTTATTTGTTGGAATGTGAATGTCAAAACTGTTTTATCAGATTTATTAAACTATGATTTTAAGTGTTATTGCTGCTTTCTTTTTCCAATCTGTTTAGAAGTAAAAATATAGAAACAGTGTATCTGTAGAAACTAACAGTTGTTTTAATGGTTGGTTTTCCAAATAGTTTCCTTATCTCTGCATATAGAGTTTGCTATCTCAGTTCATATTAATCTATATAGTATGAACAACAAAGAAATCTGACTCTTTTTCATTGTAAATTAGAGCGAGAGAGAGAAAGTAGGTTGTATTAATCTTTGGAAAATCATTGAGACAGCATTTCAGTTTCAGAATATTACAGAGCTAATGCTATACATAGCGTTGACAGCAATGAATGTAACAAATCTGCCTAGGGTTAACTGCTCATATCTGGCTTATAGTGGAAATGATAAAACACTTTAAAATAATAAGTCTTATAAACAGAATTACAGCTGCTTAACTTTGTTAACCTGAAGGTCAGAACTTAATGCCCTAAGAAAAAACATCCTTTTTACTGGATGTTAAATTTTGTAGTAATTTGGCACAGATCAGAAAAAAGCACCCTCTGGTCCATGTAAATTACAAGGCAATTGTCTCTCTTGTCAAATTGTATAAAGTTTGAGGTTACTTTATATTTAAAGGTTATTATTTCGTGATGCTAAATACTGATGTTAGTGTGTGTGTTTTTTTTTTTTTTTTTAATAACTTGTAGGTAACCTGGTTGGAAGCGGAGCTGATAAACGTCATATGGCAAGCATTCAGGAGTCGGTGGGAGAGACCAGCTCACAGAGTGTGGTGGTAGCAGTAGACAGGTCTTGAGAATATGATCTCTTTTGGGGGAAAATGTGACTTGAAGTTACTGACCATCCTCACTCTATCTGCAGGCTCTGTCAGGGACTTTGGATCTTGAAGTTTGTGTGTGTGTGGTGTTTTGCCTCTTTTTTTTTTTTTTTTTTAAAAAGAGGCTGATGACTAGATAACCAGTTTCTATGGACCAAGGAATGCATCTCATCAGTCATGGAAAACTCACCAAAAAAAGATTGTCTTTGAATAGCAGTATAGCTAATCTAATGGGCTGTGCAAAGGGGATCTGCATGTATATGAGGGAAAAATGCGAGCCTGTGGTTGTTTCCTGCTGTGGGGAAAGAACAAAGCAGACTCTGATTTTTCAGCAGGGAAGTGAATGTTCAAAACTGGAAGGAGAGGGACATGAACTTCTGCCAAGGAGTAAGAATAGAACAGTTGCAGAGTTCATGGCATGGAGGATTGTGAGGTACCTTCAGTGGATGTGATGGTTTGCCTACAGTGCTAAGATGTGATTGACTCTTGGGGATGTGCAGCTACAACTGCAACTCATTTATTTATTCCATAGGATATTTACAGGATCAACTAGGCTGGATGGAAATGCAATAGGTATGTATGCTGACCATATGGTGCTTTACAGGGACTATTGTAGTATAACATCCTGAACTTACAGTAATGTGTTCTAATGTTCAGTTGACTTTGTCCGATGGCTGTGTGCTGTTTCCATGGATGAGTTGGCTTCCCCACACCATCCACGTATGTTCAGCCTGCAGAAGATAGTGGAGATATCGTATTACAATATGAATCGCATTAGGCTACAGTGGTCAAGGATATGGCAAGTGATTGGAGATCACTTCAATAAGGTAATCTTAAAAATTTAAAGTTACAGCACATACATGAAGGCAGCAGAACTTGTTTGATCAGCTTTTTCACGTAGCATTCTTGAGTGGTGTAGGTTGTGTTGTGACAACAACAGGATCCATCGAAGGCACTAGTTTTCCCACGTTTGAGCTGGAAAAATCCTAACAATGTTTAATTAGATACCAGATTCTAGTATTAAAGGGAACAGATATTAAAAAACTGCAAGGATATAAGTAGAAATGGAATTAATGGAAATAATCCTTAACCACCTTGTTGCATGGTTTTGTATTTGTGCTTTTCCCTGTGCCATTGTTTGATCCTCCTGATCAAACGTAAGGATAGCTTCCCTCTTATAAAATATATAGAGATGGTCCTGAAGCAACAAGGGTATTTTTGCTTAGGGACTTGGACCGTGTTATCCTTCTAACCTAACAGTTTTTTGAGTGTCTGGCTGTATAGTTGTTCTTCTGCCCTTATCACGTTCCGAGGCTGTGAGACTCTTTAGATGGATCAAATGATTGAGACAGCTCCCTCCAAAAGTAACCTTTAATTTTCTAAATATCCGAAAACTAGAAATGTGCCAGAGACCCTCAGCTGACTGATATGAAACTTGTATGATGAATTAATGCAAGTCATAATATGTTAGCTGGTAGTGTCTGAAAACATGCTTTCTTTCTAGGTTGGATGTAACCCTAATGAAGATGTTGCCATCTTTGCAGTAGATTCGTTAAGGCAGCTGTCGATGAAATTCCTTGAGAAGGGAGAGCTAGCCAACTTCCGTTTCCAGAAAGACTTCTTAAGGCCTTTTGAACATATTATGAAGAAAAACAGGTGTGCACGCACTGGAATCTATTTCTGTGTTGGCTTGCTTTAGTCCTATTTAAAGATGTGCTCCGATGTGGGCTGGATTCTCTTGTATGTGGAAGTGGCAGTTGACATCTTAATTTCTGCTTTTTAAGATCCCCAACTATTCGGGACATGGTAATACGCTGTATTGCACAGATGGTGAACTCTCAAGCTGGTAACATTCGCTCAGGCTGGAAGAATATCTTCGCGGTTTTTCACCAGGCCGCTTCAGACCATGATGGGAATATTGTGGAGTTGGCCTTTCAAACTACAGCACATATAGTTAGTAAGTAATACTTGACAGATGCAAGTGCCCAAATTAAAACTGCTGTCATTCTGGTTAAGAAGATCTGCCTGAATCAGTTTATGGAATTACTATGTAAATAAAGATAAGATCTTAAAACCAAACTATTTAAACTCTGCAGTTAGGTCTTATCTGTTGCGTGAAGTCTCCTGATCCCCTATGGACGGGGGAAAAAATAGCTACGGTAACCTCCTATAGATGGCCAGTATTAGTAAATTTCGATATTAGCAAATTTTAAAAAGTACTTTCATTTGTTTTCCACAGCAAATATTTTTCAACAGCACTTTCCAGCAGCAATTGATTCATTCCAAGATGCAGTAAAATGCCTTTCTGAATTTGCCTGTAATGTAGCATTTCCGGACACAAGCATGGAAGCTATTAGACTTATTCGTTATTGTGCAAAATATGTTTCTGAAAGACCACAGGTATTTTCTTACACGTTTACCCTTGTGTATTACTACAGCATTTTCTCGTATTAAACTGAGATTGTTCTTGCAGCTAAGAAATAGCTCTCAAACTTCAATCTCCAAGGAGTGAGTGTTTGTATTAAAAGCTTATTTAGAATTGGGCATAATTTTGGTATTACGTAAGCAGTAAACTAGGAGTAGTTAAAACATTAAGGTCCTTTCCAGTCTGGAATGAAAATAACTGGATTAAATAGTCCTGTTACTACAGTTAATCTGGCTCCACACATGCTTATTTTTCGACATCAAAGTCTATTGTGCAAATATTTAATATAACATTCACTTTGAGAGGAGCCTGTGGTTAGATTACAGTTGCATGTGAACTGTTGCAAAATAAGCATAGTGTCTGTCAGAAAAGCATATAATTGGTTTATGTGAAACTGCTAAAATTTAGATTCTGCTACCTCCTATTATATCCATATCTGTAATTTGTCTATCACTGTTAAACTTGCTTCTTAATGCCAAAACCTGTGCAACTTTTAGAAACCTTTAACAGGTCTAAAATAGAACTGGTTTGATTTAAATGTTTATATATTTTTTTTCCAGATATATCTTCACAAGTAGATAACCTTCTCAGTTTTCTTTTTTGAAAGACTTTGAATGTTACAATAGAAACTAAGCTAACTTTCCGAGCCTATTTATAACATTAGTAGTAACTAAAATGCTTCAGAACTAAAATTTTTTTCAGTTTTCTTTTTTTTTCTCCCCTACCCGTCTCTAAGGTATTAAGAGAATACACAAGTGATGACATGAATGTTGCTCCTGGAGACAGAGTATGGGTCAGAGGATGGTTCCCTATTTTATTTGAACTTTCTTGCATCATCAATCGTTGTAAGTTAGATGTTCGAACAAGGTAATAAGGCTCTTCTGCTTTTTGTTTATATTCAATTAGTGAAAGAATCGGAGAGCCATTTTAACATCTTTTCCTATAATTGTTTTTGTTCTTTATAGAGGCTTAACAGTGATGTTTGAAATAATGAAGAGTTATGGCCATACTTTTGAAAAGCACTGGTGGCAAGATCTGTTCAGAATTGTGTTTCGGATTTTTGATAATATGAAACTGCCTGAACAGCAGACAGAGGTAAAAAGTGCAAAAAAAGTCATATTTTTGAGAGAGTGAAAAGGTTACTGAAAATCTTGGAAATGAAAACAATTTTGGTTTATTATCCTAAAAGGAATCAATAGAATTAGTCATCTTTTTTAGAACTCATACAATCCGGGCCGTTTGTGCTGTTTGCCTTATCAGTGCACTTCACCCCTCCAGGCATTTGATTTGTCATGATGCCACAGAACGGGGCAGAACATAATGAAGTGTGTATGAAGCTACCAAAGCAAGAACCTTCCAGGTGGAAGGTTGTCACAGATAGCCAGCGACCTATCTGTCTGTTCCCAGGGAGGCTATTCATCTTTTGTGAAAACGCATAGCTTTCTGCACAGTGATCGTGTGGCTACCTAAATGCTCCTGACAACAGACATCTGCAGTAGCGGGGCTTTTGTTAGTTTTTTGTCTAAATTCTGTTCTCCTCTTCAGAGGTCAGCTCCTCTTTCAAATAGCTGTTCGTAAGCCAGGTGGTATCGTAATAAAACCCACAAAAACAAGGGCTTCTCATTTTCTAACAGAAATCTGAATGGATGACAACGACATGCAACCATGCACTTTATGCAATCTGTGATGTATTTACGCAATTTTATGAAGCTTTAAATGAGATCCTTCTTCCTGACATATTTGCACAGTTACACTGGTGTGTAAAACAAGGTAGCTTATTTACTTATATCTTTTGATGAATGTATTTTTAGAATGCTCATGTTTTAAGGGGAAAGTTGACTGAATTTTAGAAGAATAAAAACTACCATTAGAACAGTGTTATGTATTAGATGCATGCCATATCTTAAATATTCCAGTATCATTCTATCTAATCAGTTAAGCAGCAATTCTGTTAATGTGTTTATGCTGCTACTGTAACAGAGCAAAACCTCTTGAAGAGTTGTGTTAATTTTTTGCCAACTTGGATAAAACACTTCATTTATTTACACATATGTATGTGTGTATGTATATGTATGCATTCTGGTCTCTCTCCCTCTCAGTACTTCTAGAATGACTTTCTAATAAAATAGTTTATTTTGGGCTTTGACTCTTGTGCCTGAAATCCTGCAGATTGCTAGCATGGAACATCACGGGCTAGCTAGGAAGAAATCTAATTCATGGTTTCCTTCTTTCATCCCACTATAAGCTTCCTGCTTCTTTCCTTTGTCTTCCCTGTTTGGATTTCAATCCTACGGTGTCTGTTTTTAAACAGCATTTTCTATTCAGTAGGGTCCTGAGCTTGGTGTTACTATAATATACAAGTAAGCTTTGAGCTCTTGTTGACACTTTGTACAAGCACTGTGTATCTCGATATGAAAAAATACTTAATGGAGCTGTAATAAAGAATTATTAATTTTTATTGTTATTGTAGAAGTTGATAAATACGGAACATATCATTCACAGATAATGAACAGTTGGCTCGATCAGGTACGAACTGTCTAGAAAACCTGGTAATACTAAATGGACAGAAATTCAGCCCTGAAGTCTGGGGCCAAACATGCAACTGTATGCTAGAAATCTTCAAAACGACTATTCCTCATGTGTGAGTATATAAAGTATAATCCTAATACTAAGAGCTGTTTCAGAGCCACAGTATTTATACAATCTTTCTTTTCCCTGTGAAGCTTGCTTACGTGGAAGCCTGCAGGAATGGAGGAAGATTCGGTTGAAAAACATGTGGTAAGAGTTACTTCAATGTAACAAACTAAGCTGAAGGCTAGTGTGCTAGATTAGATGTAGAAATACTTTATTTCAGTAAATACATCTAACTACAAACACTGAAATTGACATTAGCTTGAATTTGATGGCATTGTGAAATGAGTTACAAAGAATGGATGGAGGAAGCCTTTGAATCTAACATTAGGTAAGTCATCTGAAAACTGATAATTGGGTAATAGTTTTTTTGGATTATCAGAATTCTTCTATGTTCTCTTTTAGGATTTGGACCTAGATCACCAGTCTCTAAGCAGCATGGATAAAAATGCTTCAGAAAGAGGACAGAGTCAATTTTCAAATCCTACAGATGAGAGCTGGAAAGGTGGTCCTTATACAAGTAAGAATAACATGAAAGTTAATTCAATAAATGTTTATAGCTGCTCTAAGTTCATCTATGTAGTCTTAGGAGGGGGAAAAACAAAAAAGCTTTAGGGTGCTTGATAACTTCAAATGCAAGTTGTAAAGGCTCAATGTAACTTTTTATTCTTTGGAGAGAAAGTGTTTCTCCTTATAAGATGATTCACAGCATCACTAAATATGAAAATGCTAATGGTAACGTGGAGTTTTGCTAACTTGTTGCAAGTGTATTGTCATAGATTACTTCTAAAAATTGTTTTGTTCTATTTCTTTAGACCAGAAACTGTTTGCTGGCCTTCTTATAAAGTGTGTAGTACAGCTGGAATTGATACAGACCATTGATAATATAGTATTTTATCCAGCAACAAGCAAGAAGGAAGATGCTGAGCACATGGCTGCAGCTCAGGTACAATCGGATTTATTTGTACTTGTGGTGGTAAAGTGCAAAGACTGAGTACTTATAAAGTGTGTTTGCACAATGGAGTGTGTATGTAGTCTCTTGTTTTTTTTCTAACTTTCAAAACTATCCTGAATGCATTGTTTCTCTTTGCCAGTGATTCCTTGGCAGCTTGCCTGTTTGTCTGTCCTTTATAATAAATGCATATTCATTAAGGATGTTTCTTTAATTTGGAGGAGAAGGTTCTGTTATTTAGCAAGAAAGTCTTTATTTAGGTGCAGAGGAGGTTGTGCTCAACATCTAGGTGTTTACGCAGGAGGAGATGCAGAAGTTGAACTATAGCAAGGCTAGCAATCAAGATATAATTTATTACCAGCCTTGGAGAGGTCCTTGTCCCTGAAAATGGAACATTGATCCAACTGTTATGATTTCTAGGGAATAGTGCAAGGTAGTTCTTGTCTTCTCTGTGTCAGTAAAGTCCTAGGCTGGAAGTTTAGGCTAGTGCATTAATATTTGGGGTGGGGGAGGTAGTATAATTAGATTCCTAATGAAATTAGCTCAAAAATTTGAAAAATTTCAAGTAAATTTCTGACATTAGCCCAAGATGGGGGGATCTCTACACCGTGTTGAATTTAAACCTGCGTTATTTTGGTGAGTCATTTTGATATTCAGAATTCTGCAGACAGTCGGCTCCTAGGGAAAAGGAAATGTTCTGCACTGAATTGCTGTAACCTCACTGCGCCTTGATATGGGAGAACTTTCCCTTTTGTTCTGGATTATCATATCATTAGCAAGGATAGATTGTAACTTTTCTTAAAGTATCCTACTGAAAAGAACACAACTTTGATATCTTTTTAAACTTACTGGTCTTGGTTGTGTGTGTGTGGTTTTTTTCCCCCTCTATAGGTCAAATCTGCTGTTCTGTATAGCACTAATTTCACTTGTACCTAAAAATGGAATCTTGCTGGAGTTAGTGTATGATCTGTGAAGTCTCTTAAGACTACATAATAAGGCTAAATTATTGACACTCCTCTGTTCTCTTTAGAGAGATGCGTTGGATGCGGATATCCACATTGACACAGAAGACCAAGGAATGTATAAATATATGTCTTCGCATCACCTCTTTAAGTTACTAGATTGTTTGCAAGAGTCTCATTCATTTTCAAAAGCCTTTAATTCAAATTATGAGCAGCGAACAGTCTTGTGGAGAGCAGGTGAGGCTTTTATTTTTAGCTTAGTGAAAAATACTGAGCTCCATTTATGGTTTTAAAGTATCTTGAGATAATACTACTGCAGTAGTCTCTGCAGTTAATCTGCCACTGTTGCAAGCTTTTATTACTTGTCTCCTACCTAGTGATTTAAGAGTAATTATTTTCTAATTTTTTTCATTAAAGCTGCACAGTTTGCACTGCTGTAACTAGATGTATTTACAAAAATAGACTAGGTGTCCTTCAAAGTCAGGAAGGAGGAAACAGACTGTCAACACAAGAAATCATATTCATACTACTGTTCATTAGTGGAGGTATTGCTGATAAACTTTACTACTTGGCTGGTAACTACGAATGTGGATGTTTTTCCCCCCTTCCCTCCCCCACCTCTCCCATGTGTAACTGATTTCTAGGGTTCAAAGGTAAATCAAAACCCAATCTCTTAAAGCAAGAGACCAGCAGCTTGGCTTGTTGCCTGAGAATACTCTTTCGAATGTATATTGATGAAAACCGTCGAGACTCCTGGGATGCTATACAACAACGACTGCTCAGGTAAAAGCACCTTGCATGGAAATAAGTTGGTTGTGCTGACTGTTACCCAGCAGGTGGCTACTAATGTTCTATTTGAAGTTGTTGAGCAGAACGTGCAAAGTATATGAGGATAAATAAAGGACTGTTCTTCATTATTGCCAAATTCAGTTTTAATAAAGTGATCCATTCAGAGTAAACAAAGCACCTTCTTGCCTGACTTATCACTACTTTCTCAAAGAAAAGTTTGTATAAATATTTTTCCCAGCTGTGGAGTACTGTGTGATATTCAGAGGTGTAATGGGATACAGTAATGTAAATAATGTAGCATAAAGTACAGTATACATGGAACTTAATGTAAACATAGAAAATAAATGATGCAAAAAGGTATTGGGGTCTCCTCTATTTCAAAGGTGAGTTGTTGCTACTTCTAAAAGTTTAGAGGACTAATCCCGAATCAACTGTGAACAGCTCTTAAGTTTGTAGGCAATTGGCACAATTCAGTGGAGTTCAGTAGCATTCTGATTTGTCAGTGTCTATGGGCATTTTAATCTTTTTTTAGTGTGTAAAAGGGGAGTCCCCAAAAACATAATAAATGGCACAGGTTGTGCCTTGTGCTGGCAGTCTTTACAGTAAAGCAAGGACCAAGAATTTATTCATATTAATAGCAAATTCTCTTTAATCCCTAATGCTAGGCTCTAAAGATTTTTATTCAAACAGCCTAGATTTGGAGAGAGAACTTTTGTGTTGCTGTTGTCTATGCTGTCCCAGTATAAGGATTGGGAAAGAACTTTGTTTGCTGCCGCTTGAATGCGACGTGTGAATAAATACAGAATGTTCATAAAGAAAATCAAACTCCTTCACCTCCAACTTGGTGCTCTTTTATTAACAGCATGAAAAGCATGTCAGTTATTTTTAACAATTCCAGTGACTGAAAACTTAATAAGGCAAACTTCTGTAATGAAAGTTGTTGCTTGTTATTGAAAAAATTCCCATGGAATTGCATCTTATCTGAAAACAACATCTACTATGAGACGACAAATGGGGCATGTTACAAACTTTTTTTATGCATTGTTTAAACTGTATTATCTCTTTAGCGTATGCAGTGAAGCCCTGGCATATTTTATTACGGTGAACTCTGAAAGCCACAGAGAGGCTTGGACCAATCTCCTGCTGTTGCTGTTAACAAAAACACTAAAAATTAGTGATGAAAAGGTAAGAATGGGCTGGAAGCTGTGTCTGTTCGCATTCAAGCGTTTTTCTGTATCTCTTTTATTGAATGCAGTCTTTGCTCTCATATGCTGCAAGATGGCTATTTTTGTTGTATGGAAATGTTGATACATTTCATATAGAAGCACCTTGAATGTGCAATAGAGGGAACTTAGGTTGTGTTAGCTTTACCACTCTATACCACTCTAAACTTCAGCAGTGTAAAACTGGGAGTCTTGTCCCTTGATAGCAGTGGTGAAGAACTGTCTTTAGGGTTTCAGCCCTTCTTAGGAACATTGCAAATGTTCATTAGTTTAGCGCATGCAGAGAAAGCTCTGGATTGTGTGTGTGGTTTTTTTTTTTTTTTTTTTATTTAAACCTTTCCTCCAATACTGTTGAATTTCATCTTTTAAAGTTGTGGGGTGTTTTTTGCTGGTTTTTGCTTCACTGCAGAGGGTATAATTCTACTTCACTTTTACATAGTTTGGAATGTCTTACTGCAATTTACCAATATTGTAAGAAATTGGTAGTTGTAGGGTATAGTTCCTCAAGAAACTATATGTAGGTTAGAGTTTTTCTCGGTTATCTTTTATCCGGAGAAGAAAAAAGTGAGAGAGCTGATGGATGTGGAGTGTTGTAGATGATATTTTGGGGGCTTGAGGGGCAACAAGACAAACTCATACCAGAGAGTGCCATTTCCATAACATGTAGGCTCTGATACTCCCTGTAGCTTGGGAAATCTAAGCCACAGATTGGAGCCTGACTGTGTATTCCAGGAAGGTACTACCATATGCTTGCTTTCTGTGTGTCTTTCGGTAAGCATCTGCTAAAGCTGCTGTGGAAAGCAGACAGTGGGGCTTGATGGCCCTTTGTTCTGATCTAGCGAGGCCTGTTCTAACAAATGGGCATAGCTGTGGAAAAACTCTGCTATTTCTACAGGAAAGTTCAGAATGATGAACAGAGAATAACTGTCTCTTTTTATCTTCTTTAATAGTTTAGGGCACATGCTTCAACATATTATCCGTACTTGTGTGAAATCATGCAGTTTGACCTGATTCCTGAGCTTCGAGCTGTGCTGCGGAAGTTCTTCTTGCGTATAGGTGTTGTGTTCAAAATCTGCATAACAGAGGAGCAGATACGGACAACTGGGACAAAATTACCTTCATGGTAGTCTGAAGTAGAGTTAGTTACTGCTGCTTGTACATAAAGCTACGTTCCAGAGATGGGTTAAAGTGAATGGGGAAGCGGAAAAAATGGGACCCTGGTAAATCAACAGAGCAGCAAGTTACTCTTACCATAACGGCAGTTTGGGAGGAGGAAAAAAAATCCTGTTCTGTCCATCCTACAAAATTATTGGCAGTTTACTTTATTTAAATTGTTGCTTACAGAGCTAATACAGTAGATGTAAAGTCTATTTGTTTCAATGCTAGTCATACTTACGATCAAGTCTGTCTCTTCTAATCTTTTAAAAATTGTTCAGTCTTGCATCCCAGCTAAACCTTAAATCAGCTGGAAATTATTCCTCAGTGGAAATTATGCCCCTTGGAAATAATGAATATAGTTGTATAGCCTTGTGATGTTAGCACATGTGTTCAAAATAAACTATATTGCAGTGGATAACGACCACCTAAGATCATTCTGGGTTTTTCTTTGTATGTACCCAACTAGACCAGGTAGTATGTTTTAGGGTGTTTTGTTTTTGTAGGGTTGTTTTTGTTTTTTGTGTGTGGACTACCTGTATGATATAACCAGTTTGGGGAAAGGGTTTTCCTCCTGTTCAGCAAGTCATTTTAAAACACTTTTAAAAGCAGTGCTTCATATTCTGAAATGTGCTTTTGTTTTTATGGAAGGTTTTAAATCAGGAGTATGCAGTAGTGTTTACTCTATATTTAACTCATTAGCCTTGAGTTAACTGAAGGCATTAAAGAATAAAACACTTTTAAATTTTCCATTGACTTTCATACATTGCCAGATCATGGATTGAGCGTCTAAAGTAATATGATAAACAAGTAACACTTTCTTTACCCTTGACTATAATACAATTAGTAGTAATTTTGCCTCTTTAACAAAAAGTGACCTGTCCTAAATACATATCAGGGTTGTCTCTGTTCAGTGCGAATCTGAAAGTGCTGATTATCTTTGTGCATATATATTTTTAATGTCTCACCTGTAGTTGCTGTTGCGATCTGGAAAGAAAAAGAAAACTGAACTCCCACCAGAGTGCTCTAGCAAATTTCAGCTTAAGCTCATACATGTACTGTAACAGTTCCAAGATACTTCCAAAGCACAGAAGTATATATAAAGCAAACATGGCTTAATGCTATAGCTTGGTTTGCCCTATGAATTTTTTTTCTTTCTTAGGAAGACTTGAGTTTCCTGTGACACTTACTTCCATGACATAATACCAATTTTAACTGAAGTACTGCAGGGCTGAGTTCTGTCTTTTGAACTAATTTTAATTGCACAGTGAGATTTCTCTAGCAAAGTATGGCAGGATAGGAGAGCAGGTGCCACTTCATGAAATACATTAATATATTCAGCACTGTGCTCTCCATATCAGGACCCTTAAGGTATAACAGTATTTTAAACTGAGTGGTATTAAGTACTAGACTTTTCTCATTAGAAGTTGAGTTTCCTGGTAGGGCAGCCATAGTTGAAGTAGCATTAGGATATTCCCCTTTCAGAGCTGTTGGGATTTTTTTTTTTTTAATTTATTTTTTTGGTGAGCTTTTTTCCAAAGGTTCATATGGTGCCCCCTCAGTAAGTCAGTTGGCCCTACTTAAGCAGCAGGGAGTGTTTGGGAGTGTTTTTTGCGGTCAACAGTACTGGTAAGGGTGTGTGGTTGTGTGGTTTTTTTTTTTTTTTTTTTCTTTTAAACCAAAGAAAAGTGAATGGTGGTTGTGGCTTTTTAATAATTAAATACCTGTTAAATGTATATGCTAACATTTAGTAGAAAGGAATACATGGCTATATTTTTACCATAAGGAAAGACTGAAAAAATAAGTGATGTCCCTGTCCAACTTGCTGCATTTGAAATGTCCTTTTGTGTTGCATTTAGTGTAGGTGTTCACTCCCAGGTATGTCCCTTCATCAATTACAGTAAAAATGAGGTATTTATTTTGATACTATTTAAATATTTAAATAAACTATTCTTCTTCTTCCTGTCCTAGATAGTCCTAAAGAAAGTATTTGAAACTTTATTTTTCAGATTTTTGAGTGTGTCACAGCCTCATTGAATGTACATGCTTTGCTCCTGTCAAAACAGTTTTTCTAAGTCGCATGCTTTCTCTGTATGTTTCAGTTTTGAAAGCCTTACAACTCATGTCTTGAAACTGGTCTCTTAATTTTCAGATCTTAAATTATTTTACACGTGCATCACAGGCTTTAAGTAAAGCTTTTATTATATTTATACCATTTGTAAACTGCTGAAATTAAGTACGTGACATCAGAACCATTCTAGACTTTGCTGTGGTGCATGAAGGAGATAGGGACTGGAATGCAGTGGGATTTTAATGGCCTTAATCCTGTCATAGTTTTGTGGAATTGACTGTACACATTAAAGCAATAAGGATGGTGTGTTAAGTGTAATATCTGAAACAGTTGTTTACATCAGCTGTTTCGTTTTGCTTATTCTCTCAGAAAGATCATAACCCATAAACATTTTAATGAAGCTAATAATGCTGAGCCAAAACTCCTGCTGTAATCACTGCTCGTTCTCATCTTGTACTGGACTCTGCTGACACAGGCTCTAGCTGCCCCTGGTAGTTTTATTGGCTTTAGTGGAACTGTATGAATGAGAACAAGGTTCTGTGTCAGCACATCCTCGAAGAGATCGAGGCCTCTATGTGCAGTACATGGAGAAACTATTTTAAAAGTTAGCTCTTGGACGTTTTAAATGGTGCGATGCAACAAATCATAGTTAAACCAGCTTATAATTTAATGGAATAGGGAGACTCTGCATGGTATTTTACTACTTCCTACTGTGCAACCCCTTATGAAATGAATAGGCAGGATGCTAGTTGCTAGTGAGGAAAAACCCTAAAAACTCCCTTTGCAAAGAAGAACATGACTTTTCGACAGAGGTTTTGTTACCTGTATGTTTCATATCTCACTCTGTTTAACTGAACAATCAAACAGCTTTCAGTAGCACAACCAGCCACCCCCAACCTTCACCTCAGTCTTACTTTAAGAATGAGAAAAACATGTAATACCTTCACTCTGAAGTAAAACCAAGCTCTTTTGCTGTTGCAGCGTCCTTTAATATGTAAATTGTTTGTTCAGCACCTTTAATGTTATTTTTGTTCAAAATGTTTTTACATATTTAAAATGCCTAAGTTTCTTTTTTTTTGGAGACCTCCATCTGAAGTGCATTTAAATATCAGAAACTTAAAGCGTGTTCCTTGCCCAATGGCTGTATACACTTTTGAGAGAATAGCAAATTATATAATATGAAAAGCTATGTAAAGTTTTATACATGAAGAACTATGTATAATACTGTTATAATATTCCATGCTTTAACTAAGTGGTAAAACAATAAAGTTTTGAAAAAGCGGTTTGTTTTTAATGTAGCTGTTAGAACAACGTGAACTGGCAAAGCGCTGCTATTGAAAAGAGGGAAAGGCTTGGGCCTTTTACTTTTTCGCTACCCGTTAAGCGTTGTCTCTCCTCTTCTTCCTTCCCTCC